CAAGATCTCAGTTCATCATACACTACAAGATCTCAGTTCATCATACACTACAAGATCTCAGTTCATCATACACTTCATGATCTCAGTTCATCATACACTTCATGATCTCAGTTCATCATACACTACACTTTGTTGCACATTATCTGATTCTGTTTTGGCCTGTTGATATTGAACCCATCTTCTGTTTCCCATGGGAGCTTCCATCCATCTTCACTGGGGGGCCAGAGCCCCCCTCAGCCCAACTCAAACTGTAGTTGGGCCACGTTGTCGGGTTTGTTTGCCCATTTGAACTGTGACGTTTTATGGTCTGAGACTTTTCTGCATCATTCATATTACTGTCACTATTTTCAGTTCTCAGATTATCTGGAGTCACTGAATCTTGTTAATACACCTGAATCAGCCCATCACTGCAACTTTCAATGTTTTTACCATACCATACATACTACTTTATTTATAAAGCACTTAAAACAGCTACAAGGCCAACCAAAGTACTGTACAGACAAAACAACAGGTAACACACAAAGCAAAATACAAAATGAGGTAAATCAGAATATAGACATAAAAACGATGCAGATAATGACGACAAACCAGTGTGGAGCATACAGGATCAAAACACAGATCATCTGGTGTTGAAAGCTACTGAATAGTAGTGAGTTTTTAAACGGGACTTGAAAACCGACAGGGAGGGGCCCTGTCTGACAAGCAGAGGTAACTCGTTCCAGAGTCTTGGTCCTGCTACAGAGAAGGCCCTGTCACTTCTGCGCTTAAGACGAGTTCCTGGAACTGTGAGAAGCAACTGGTCCGCAGACCTCAGGGAACGTGGAGGGACATACGGTTGTAGCAGATCAGAGAGATTGTGTGTGTGTGTGTGTGTGTGTGGGGGGGGGGGGGGGGGGGCCGACACTGTTCAGTGATTTGTAGACATACATGAGTATTTTGAACTGGATTCGAAAGTGAACCAGTAACCAGTGCAGTGAGGCCAAAACTGGTGTAATGTGCTCTCTTTGGCCTGTACTGGTTAAAATCGGGCTGCTGCATTCTGGACCAGTTGTAGTCGTGCAATGGAGGTCTGACTGATACCAAACAGGAGCGAATTGCAGTAATCAAGCCTAGATTTAAAGAATGCATGTATTACTGTCTCCAGGTTATTGTTGGACAATATGGGCTTCAGTTTAGACAGCCGCCTCAGTTGGAAGAAGCATGATTTAACAACCATGTTTACATGATTGTTAAGTTTCAGGGAAGGGTCCATTATCACTCCCAGATTAGTGACTCTTTGTTTTTCTGACAGGGTTAGAGCGGAAAGGTCGATACAGTGGTTTGTGATCGTGTCATTGGGAGGGAACAACATGACTTCAGACTTCTTTTCATTGAAACTCAAGAAATTTAAAGCCATCCAGTCCCTGATGTCAGCCAGGCAGTTGAGCAGCGGTTGGTTGTTTTTGGGTTCTGAATGATCGCGTCTTCATTAATGTTTCTCATGGTTCGATTATGGGGGCTAATTGTCACACTGTTAACTCCTGTAATTACACATCAGTCACAAAAAACTCAAGAAAATGTCTGATAATAATGTTGTTACTGCTCTCAGGGATTCAGCCCAACCCTGGACCCCCCCCCCCCCCCCCCACTAATTACAGCACACCAAATGACTTTAAGAACATGTCTGGACTTCATTTTCTGCGTGTAAGGGTGCATTCACACTAGCCCTGTTTAGTCCGCTTCAATCGAACTCTAGCTCGTTTGTCTAGAAAGTCCGGTTCATTTAGGGAGGTGTGAACGCACCATCGAACTCTGTCACGGAACAAAAAGGCGAACTCTGGCCTGGGCTAAAACCTAGGTCTCGGTTCAGTAGAAGCTCCAGCGCGGTTCGAGTGCAGTGTGAATGTAAACAGACCAAGCCCCGCTCCGCAGGGTGAACAAACACGCATTGCTCTGACCTTATATGGAGCCGTCAGCTGCCTTGTGTGGAAAAACAATATTCTCCATGGTCGTCTGTCTCATCTTCTGCTCATGCCAAGTCCATTTTTGAAAAATGACAAAATATAACTCCTAAAACTGCTAAAACTTGATGCCACTTCGTTTTTATTTTTATTTACAGAAGAAGAAGAAGAAAAAGAAGTGTCTTCAGAGGTTTTTGTGTCGTTTCTTTCAGTAGTTCTTGGTACAGCGCCCCCACAGGCGAGCGGGGGAATGTGTTGGTTCAACAGGTTGGCTCGACTGCACAGTGCAGTGTGAATGCAAACGCACCAGCTCAAATGTAAACAAAAGGTCATGAATATTGGTTCCGAACCGAGTCTACCGAACTATCAGGTGTGAAAACGACCTAAATGCACGTAGCCTTCTGAGAAAACTTGATGCCTTGAAAATTCTGGTCAGTTCTTCGGGGGCAGATGTCAATCAATCAATCAACCTTTATTTATACAGGTAAATCCCATTGAGCCTCGAGGACTCATTTACAAGAGAGACCTGATTTCAACAAAGAAAGATGACAACAATGGACAACAGCAACAACAATAAGCAGTTATAAAAACTCATACTAGTTTTTTTTTTTTTTTTTTTTTTTTTTTTTTAACAAATAGGATGGCTAAAAGGAAAAAGGTAACAAAACAAAAAAAAACCAGCTAGATTCCAAGACAAATGTATAAAACTAAAAACAGGAACATGTCTGCATTGGTCCCTGCCAGGAGTCCAACAGATTCTTAAAGCCACTTAGAGAGGTCAAGGTCGAGAGCTTCAAATCTTTTTGTAAGATATTCCAGGAAACAGGAGCGGAGTAGGATAAGGCCCTTTTGCCTAGTTCAGTCCTCACTGAGGGAACACTGCAGGTAATAATGTCCTGAGAGCGCACTCCGTAGCTGCACTCACGCAGAGACA